CTGCAACAGAATACAAAGAATAGAAGTCCTTTCATCAGCTTGCTTCTCTGTTTTGAGAACACCTCTGCTTTAAAAGTGACAGGATTTTAGCGTGCTGTGGAAATGTGTTTTGCTTCACGTTGCTTTTTAAAAAGAGTATAATTTCACTTTAAAGGATTTTTCTCTAAGTGCTCAGAAATTGTAACTGGTAACACGCTTATCTTACTAGCCAGCTTAAAGCTGGATTTGCCAGAAGGCTTTGAACAAGTAAATGCGACCGAAAACTTGTGTTAAAAGACAATTGTTTCTTTAACTTCTTCTAAGTGGCTCAGATCCTGGTTAAAGTTCACAGGCTGGGAGACTTTCGTTTCCCTTTTCCATCTTAGGGATCCAGCTCTCCTTGCATGCAGCTGGCCATAAATGAGGACCAGGCTTTGCCACTCCGTGCTTTCACAAGGTATCGTTAGGTCAGCAAAGCCATCAATTAGGCTGTCTGAAGTTTTATCACCAGCGCAGCAGCAATAAGTGCCGGCCCAGAAAGACTTCTGCTCTTCTACAACTCCTGCAGTTGGAGCCTGTAAAGGCAAGGGTCGTTTGGAGGTCAGTGCCAGCTGGGGGCCACCTCTGTGTCCAAGCGGGGACGCCCCGTGCAAGGCGACCGCCTGCTTGCCCTCAACTCAGGCACCTTTCAACTCGTTAGAGACCCGCACTCACAGGTACATGTGGTTAATATTAGGCCCAAAATAACCTTTTTTTTTTAATCTCAAACTGGGGTGGTTGCCGAGGCTTTTGAGCACTGGTAAAGGCAGTTAGTTGGCTGCGGAGCCTGGATTTAATTTTGCTAGTAATCCAAAAATAAGTGCTTGCATATTTCTTATTAGCTAATGCGCAGCAATCCACATCAGCACAAGCTAAGCTAAATTAATTTCCCTAAAATAATTTCAAAACTTGCCTGTTCACAAAATATCTTTGAAAACAGGGCAATTTTCTATCACTCGGGAGCCACACTTGTTTTTGTCCCTTCTCTTTGTGTTTGAGAACACTTTGGAGCCTTCGTGCAGGTTTTGTGTGCTATTTCACAGCTCAGGCTTTCGCCTGGTGACCCTTAAGGAGTGCTAATGAAGTCGAATACTAGCGTTTAATCCTCTTCAGAAATACTAACATGCCCATCATCCAAAACAGCCTCCAATAATTGCCATTGGGCCCGATCCAACGCCTAGCAAAGTCTTTCAGTCAGTTAACTGAAAACTAAGTTCATCTGCTCATTTAGTAAATTGCTAGCCTTTATATAGCATCAACTCTGCAAGGTCTTTTGTCGTGCTTCCCTCACTCCCTCCCACCCTCTGGTTAAATTCCTTCGCAGATAATAAAGGACGGTGGCACACCTTGGATTGCATCTCCCGTAATCACAGTGGTGGAAATTTCATTAGACAGATGCATAAATGCTACAAGTAACACTAAAGGGCTCTTTTGCATCTTTCTGTTTACATCCAAAAGACATTCTTTATTCTTTCGGAAAAGTACCATTCAGTTGTCAGAAATGTCATCCTGCCTCAGAATTAGTCATGACTTCAGCTATTAAAATAAAAACTCAGACACAGTCAATATATTTGTTTGTTTCCTTCTGACTGTGGCACAGTGAAGGCATCACTGCCAGTTCTGTGATTTTGAAGTGTGTTTCCGTCCTCAGAGACAAAGGTCCCCGATAGGACTCCTTTGCTGAGTTACTTTCCAGTAATGTTGCTGCGCTGACCAAATGGAGCCTGACCTGAACCTCCTCCATCCAGCACGCCTTTTATCAGCTAAAGTTAAGGCCAATAGAGATTAACAGGAAAGCCTGATAAGACTGTTTTCTCTTCTCCTACGAGCTTCTAATGGTGTATACAGATGGCAAGGTTTTAAAGAATGCAATGAACACTTATTTAGGCCTGTTAAAAATCACAGAAACACCCCCCCACACACGCACACACTTTCCATCTTACTAACCCCTTTTCTTCAATCAGGCCAGTCTTCAGGAAAACCAAATTGCTCTTTCGTGTTTTTTTTTTTTTTTTTTTTTTTTTTTTTTTTTTTTTATTTAAACCCCAACCACTTTTATTATTTACATCTGGTGGTCCCCTTATTTATGTCCCTCTTCACTTCCCTGCATACACACCCTGCTCACAGGGCTGCGAAGCATTATGGGCCTTGGCTCTCAGCAGGAGAACTCCACACTGTCTTCAAACAAATAATTAAGGGGAAGGTTAAAGGTTCACCCAGAGGTCATATCTTTGGATACTCCTCAGAAAGTTTACATTAGTAAGAAATGGGTGCCCTCTGAAGTGTTCTTTCAATGGGCTCGCACAACAGGGCACAGCATTAAGAAAATTCTACATCTTTAAGGGTTTCAGGTAACATCTGCTTTACTTCTAGCAGAGATTGGGATACTGTGCTCCAACCTTACATATTCGACAGTCTCTGCAGACTAAGCCTTTGGGACGGGTGTTGAAAACCCCATCTTGCCCAGCCATTCACTCCCAGAGGAGCCTGGCCTTATTTTATCCTACTGATGTGAATAAAGCCAATCTTTCACTACAAACTCTACCTAGAGGCAATTCAGTAGTTGTTTTGGAAATGGGAGTTCAAGCCCTAAAAGTGAGTACTCCATATTTGTTTTCCTAAAAAAAAAAAAAAAAAAAAAAAAAAAAAAAAAAAAAGATACAATTTGTCCAGTTAAAACTTGTGAGAAATAGCTCTTGGGTTTGATTTCTGATTTCATTATTTCTCCATTTTTCTTTTGCATATCTGCATAACAGCAGGTGCAAGCAATGTCCTCTAGACCAGCAACAACTTCATCTAGAGAGAAGATACACCGATGTATACTTGAAAAGATATAGGAAAACAGGCTTTGCTTTAGGCATCCAGGTAATTTTGAAATTCCATTTCTATGGCTCCTCTGAAAAATCTTGTTCATAAACAGCATCAGTTATACCCACCAGTGGGTATGTCTGAAAAATGACGTGAAATTATTTATATTTGCAAGATTGCAGGTGCAAAACAGTCATACATTTCAGGTGAAGCTAAAAATCGAATCCTAGTTTCACTAGCAGTAGCTACATCATGCAATGCATCAGCACAATTGGTAGACAAGGGCATAGAATGCAGTGTTTGTGCATTATTATTTATTCCTTACACTGCTCCATAAATATGCACAGTGCATAATAGAGACGTAGAAAACAGAGCCCCCGCCCTAGCCTTTACGTTTTTTGAGGGTTGTTTTTGAATCCCTCGGAGAGCCATATCCAGGGCCAAAGTAAAGCAAAATACAGCCTTTTGCACAGCACTTCAGTTTATGCTGCAGAAACACTGATGTTATTTAGGCACAAACGTCTTCAAAAGGCATTAAGAGACAGGTGAAAAAAGCGAACACCAATGCCACTGTTTTCAGCATTATTTGGAACCCTATAAAAGAAGAATTCACAGCTCTGCTCCTGACACTAATTGCTTACCTTGTTCATACCCTTCACCCAGAGGCCAAAGATTGAATGGCCTGAAAAGATGAGTAAAATCTATCAAAAAGACATGGACTTCTTTGTTTCTCTGCTGTTAATAGTAATTCCTATTATTTGGATGATAGCAGCAGTTAGAGGACCCAATGAAGCTCAATATTACTTCACCCCATGCTTCACAAGCACACTGTCCAAGAGAACTCAGTCTGAACAGATTTCCAGGCAAAGCCTGGGGGAGAGGAGAGACGCCTTCTCCCTGTTTGCGGAGGGGAACAGAGACAGAAGGAGATTAAGTGACAAGGCCAAAGTCATACAAGAGATCTTTGGCAGAGCCACACACCCAACATAGATTTCCTCAGTCCTCTTTCAGCGCTCCTACAATCTGCTATCCATATGCTATCTTTCCTTTGTTCCCCCAGCTTAACAGTCAGGCACACTGGCAGGGGACTGCAAAGAGAGCTCACATTGCCACTGTTTGTGCCTTACCTGCTGCGTAGATAAAGAGGGGTCATCAGCCTCCAGGGCTGTGAGGCAATACCTTCACAAACTCTACATTCATATGGTATTTGGTCCTCATTCCAGAATGATAAATGAGGTGTGTAATGCTGAGAAATACATGTCATTGACATAGCAGGCTCAATAAAAAACTCACTCCCAGCATTTTGCAAATGACAGATTACCAACCTTGCCTATTCATACAATAGCCATTTGAATCAAAGGGTTTTTTGCATCTTGTATTTTTTCGTTAATTGCTAGCTAAAGCAGCCATATCTCTTTCCTATAGCCAGAGTCTGTCTTTCTCACACAAGTAGTTCTGGTTACTTTTGCGGGACAGTTCATGAAAGCACAAATAAACAAGATCTGACTCAAAATGTACAACAACATGGATTTTTAAAGGAAGTGATTTCACTTTTATCTGCTTACAGCAAAGCCCAGTAGAGCAATAAAGGTGCACTAGTGAATATGAAATCTAGTCTGGTGATTTGGTAGCACAAGTCCTAATTGGTTCCTACCATTGATGATTAGCATGACAATATAATCTAAATATATGCATTTAATCACATCTCTCCAAACAGAGACTTGGTTTTCTTTGTCCAAAATAAATATGCATTCTGTACTTTATAGGAAGCCCTGTAATTAATCTTCTTTGTATATTTATCATATTTTATCTCAAGTCATATCAAATGACGTTAAATTCCAATTTGCATAATATATTTTATTCTTATAATAAAATAATGTTCTGATAAAATCACAGAGACATATTTCTGCAAAGTGCAAAGTGAATAAATAGCAAATAGTGATCTCTTAATCTGCTTCTTCAAATCTGGCACACTCAAAAATAATTTTTTTTGTTTCCACTGTCTTTTTTATATATAGTGTACATATATTTTGAAACACCATGACCACACCATAACTGAATCTGCTTAAGATCAGTTCTTGAAATGAACTGTTAGTGACTGTACTGATTGGCAATCAGGATCAGAAATCTCCAGCTTTACTTTATGGCTATCATGGAAAATTCCCTGTAAGTAT